TGTATACACAGACACACACACACACACATATATATTTATTTATATATATATATTTCCGTCTACCAACCTTTTTACTGGATATACATCTTTTTGTTGCCAAAGTCAAGAATTTGTAATGGCTGTCTCTTAGTGGATTTTAATTCACTTAATATATACATTTACCTTTTTTTCTGACACTTGTATGTATAGCCATATAAAATTTTATGTATTTTCATCAGGTATGTTTTTGAGACAAGGTCTTGCTATATAGTTCAGGCTGGCCTTGATTTCATTCCCAGACTGGTGTCACACTCACTATGATCCTCCTTCCTCAACCTCCCCAGTGCTGGGATCACAGGTATGCACCACTAGGCCTGGCTATCAGGTTATTTTTTGTAATGCAAATAGTCAATCCCTTGTCAGAGTATCTCAAAGAAGAAAAAAAAAATTAGTAATATAATTGCTCAATCAATTATGCAAGTAGATACTGTCACAAGGAATGTATTTCTCATGTAGTTAGTGACTGAATTAAAGAAATGCTAAGGTCATCACAACATTTTTAAGGTTGAAAGGTATGATTTTAGTTTTCAAACATGATTTAATAAAACATATTCTATCCAGTTGAAAATCTATGCACACAAAACACACAGGGAAAAGGGAAGAGAGGGAGAAATATATTCAATATTTTCATGACTCAGAACATGTACATCCTCATCATCCCAGCTATTATATAGTGCTTCTTTTAGAACTGGTGACAACTTTGTTCAAGTAGACTTATTTTATACCCCATTTTTATATTATTCACTTTAAATAAACATGGGTTTATACTTTATCAGAAGAATGGAGTTCAATTTTGAGAAGTTGTTTTTAGGCATTGTTATGACTTGTGTTTAGATGCCCCCCAAAGCCTCATGCAAATAAGGTGGAGCTTTTTCAGAGGTGGCTGGATCTAGAGTGTGTGACACTGAAATTGGTACATGGGCAATGCTAGGCTTGAGGGCACTAGGATTAAAGGTGTGAATGCCACCCACTCTAAGTAGTCTGGATAAGATAAAAGGGACAGGAAGACACTGTTAAGGTCTCTTTTTGCTTTTTCTGCCTTCCCCTGCCGTGAACTGTTGCCCCTCTGCCAGGTGCCACCCTGCCTTGGAGCCAGCCAGTTATGGACTGAAGCCTTTACAAACTGTGAGCTAAATAAATCTTTCCTTCTTTGACTTTGGGTATCGGATATTTTGTCTCCAGCAATGAGAGAAAAGTAATTAAGACAGACAACTAATTATTATGAATTAATCACAAATTCTACTTAAACTGCTTAAACTAAACAGATTTTTTAACCCTAAACAAGAGAAATAAGTCAAATAGCATCCAAAGCATCCTTGCCGTGCAGCATTTTGAATACACAACAGATGATACCAATAACATATTTTGATAGGTTATTAACAGGTTTACTGCTTCTTTTATTACAAATAAGACCAATGGATAATGGCAATAGTTGTAATATGATAAGTGAGTTGCAAATGTGTATTTAATACTGTATGTAAAAAAAGATCCTCGAGAACAACAAAATTAACCTTTCTAGTGGGACTGACAAAGATAATTTTATTGATAGAATAACATGAAAGTCTGTATAAGATTAAGCCATAAATGCTTTATTGTGTTTTGCCTTTTAATTTTCTCATTAAAGAGTAAAACAGTCATAAAGAAGACACAAATACAATCAATTTATGGGATTTCAAAAAGATACCTATGGCTTTCTTATGGCTTGTATCTAGATGTCCCCCTAAACCTCATGTGGTCATAGATGGGGTTTTTCAGAGGTGGCTGGATCTAGGGTGTGTGATGCTGAGATCAAAGATGTGATATGACTCCTGGTGTGCTGCTGGGATTAAGGCTGCCCTGCCCTGGGTGTGTGTGCTACCCACAAGGGTGGGTAGCCTGGATAAGATATAAAGGGCAGAAAGAGGGTCATTGTTTTGTCTCTTGTCCCCCCCTTGCTTGCTTTTGCTGCTGCTTGCCTTCTGTTGCCTCTTGCCTATTTTGTGATACCCTTCTGCCACTCCGCCCTGCCTTGGAGTCAGCTGAGTAGGACTGAAACCTCTAAAAACTGTGAGCCGAAATAAACCTTTCCTTCTTTAACTTTGGGTGTCAGGTATTTTGTCTCAGCAACAAGAAAAGTAACTAAAGGGGAGCTAAATAAACCTTTCCTCTCTTTACTTTGGGTGTCAGGTATTTTGTCTCAGCAACAAGAAAAGTAATTAAGACAGGCTCCTTTTTAAAAGTATGCTGGCCCTCAGAATCTATCCATGGACTAGGAATCCATGAAATAGTCTTCGAGTCCTCACTTATTTCTTGGGTTCTGAGAA